TCTGTCTGTTTTAAGGTATACAGATGACACTTCGCTCCTTGCCACCACACAAAGCTGTGTCAAATCAAATCTGTCAAAGAACGCAGTGACCAAAGAGGGTATTTTCTAACTATAAAGCAGTTGAGAAGTATGGTTCGGACTTCTACGATCAACAGCACACCATCCAGCACAAGGTGCCTGTATAAAAGAAATTCGATGGCAACAAGGCTAGAGGGCGACCGAGAAAGGCCTGGATAGATGGAGTCAGGGAAACATTAACCACCCACGGCATCCCCCTGACCCAAGCTCTACGGATGGCGACAGAGAGACATCTCTTTCTTCCCACGACACCCAAAAGGGTATAAGCGGCGGATAAAAGTAAAAGTAAAGTAAGAGAAGTATGGACATAAATCAAATGCAAAAAAGAGGCTGTGATATTCATTGACGGAGAAGAAGTAGAAAGGATCAACATAATATTTGAATATCTTGAAGCCATGATTTAAAGCAAATGGGAAAAACAACCTCAGAGATTGAATGGAAAATTGAGGTCGCAATATCAAAACGGAGCCAGACGACATCCACCGGGAAAAGACAACAGCTGAGAATTTATAGAATTACTATATTCATTCTCCGCCACAGTATATGGATGCGAGGCGTGGGCCACAAATGAGCAAGATACAAAAATGATTACAACTATCGAAACTAAAGGCTATAGAAGAACTCACAAAATATCATGAAGACAGAAAACGAAGAATAAAGAGATACTCGTACAAAGAAGAATAGGTATAGAAACGCTAACACTCCTTCAGAACAAACGAAACTAACTGAACTACTTTGGGTATATCAAACGCTATGAATCACTCAAGAAATCTATCTCTCTATCTGTCTGTCTATCTATCCATCTATCTATCTATTTATCTATCCATCTATCTATCTATCTATCTATCCATCCATCCATCCATCCATCCATCTATCTATCTATCTATCCATCTATCTATCTATCTATCTATCTATCTATCTATCTATCTATCTATCTATCCATCTATTCATTCACTTATTTATGTTTATTCATTTCCTTGTTTATTTATTCATTTCGGCTAGTAAAAGTATCCACCCACTTCTATCTTATTTTTTTCAGTGAAAAAAGACTCCCACGGCTGTTAATAAAGCATGGGTAAAGGCCAGTCCACATTATAATGTATATAATATTGATAATATTATTATATCTATTCGTTCTTGGTTTTTTCCACTCCTTTTTTCTTTCGCAAGGTTGCGGGCATTCTGTTTGTGATCGTACTTCCGGAGTCCCCCATTGATTGATGTAGACCTGAGTCACTTTGTCCATGTCGTTTCAACACATTCTCTTTTTGTTCCCGCCGTGCCTGGCTGGCAACTGTTGACCATAATTCCGCTAATACCCCGTCTAGATAAGCCGCTGCTCGGTACGAAGAATAAGAACAGATAAAAGGAATACAGGGCGGTTGTTGAAGCTATTAGACTATCACTAATCGTTTATCGAATCAATGCTACTTTTGGTTTGTGGACAGACTGACGTATCTGAGAACTGTGTAGCTGGGAGTAGAAGGGTGTTACGTCAACCCAGTGGAGCAGTGAGTGGGAATGACTGTATAAACAAGTCTTTTGCACGTCAGTAGTAGCAGTTACATTGGCTCGGATGGTTGTTACATCGTCATTATCGTCATCATCATCATCATCATCATCATCATCATCATCATCATCATCATCATCATCATCATCATCATCATCATCATCATCATCATCATCATCATCAGAGTATCACATGTCGCTAGGACCAGGTTGAGCTAGCGAGACTGCGGTCAGACCATCATTGGAGCTTGAGATGGTATGAGAACTTTGTAAATGGAGAGCTCAGCCCACGTTGCTGAAGATGCGGCCTTGAAAGGGAGGATGTCAAACATATTTTTAAATATCCAGGAACAATGGCAATTCGAATTGAGTTATTTAGACGACTGGAGGTGCCTCTAAGCATATTGACAATGGAGCCGAAAAATGGCCTCGTTCTCGCTCGAAGATTTCTTCGTGGAGTCCACCAGGCCCATAAAGGGAACAAAAAGAAATCATCAACATCATCATCATCATCATCATCATCATCATCATC